TATAAAAATATTAATTGCACCCATACCAGATACCTGCATGAAAAAATAAGAAATAAAGTAGCATGTCAATATTTGATCGAGAAATGATTTAAAATTTCAAACTTTAATTAAAAATATATCTTCCATGTAATTAATTGTCAACTTGAAAATAAGAGTTATTATATCAGAAAATTATAATTCGGGGATAGCGACAGTTTTGAATTCGTAAAATCTGAATATGAGTAGAATATAAAAGACAACGAGTTTTTAGGGAAGATTTTAAGTTTTTTTAATAGTGTTTTCGAGTCTTCAAAAAGTCCGGTATTAAATTATACTTGATATGATAACAATTCATTCTTTCCAACAATAGTGATCAATGAGTTTTCTAAACACTAACTTCTATATTTTGTAATTTTGCAATATATCATAGTTACATATATTTGTTATACAAGCCTAATAGAATGGCTCATTTATGTAATTTTCCCTCAAGTCTAAAGTCATTCTGTGAAATTCCCACATTCATAGTTGTTGTCATTTGACTCAAATTCTAATGGGTATTGAACTTTGGTTGAAGTGATCATAAAGAGATCAAATTATGGACTGAGGAGAAAAGTTGTCGTAATTCGCTAGTTGGCCTCTAGCTTGGCCCTTGAGTGACGACGTCAAAATTTCAACGGAGACTTGCCGTTCACCTAACACTTGAGCGGTGTATTTATCTGGTACAAGCCCGTTTTGCATTTTAACACATTTTTTGGACTTTTATTAATCTACAGCTCGAATTTTAGGGATTATTTAAATTCATACAACATCATTAAAATTTTAAATCTTAATAGAGAGTATTGGGATCCTGTACTAAACACTTGATTAAAGTGAAATTCTCCTCCTCCGCTTGTGATTTTTTCCCAGTTTGGGTTTTCACATAAATTTTGATGTTTTTATTTTTGTTTTGTTTATTTCACTATTATCATTATCCTGCGATCAATTCATAACAACAGATATCATTAGAACAAGTTGATTATTCCACATGGCAATGATGAAATATGATATTTTATTATTGGATCACAATATCAGATTTATTATACAACAGGCGAAGATACAAGCGGTTCTCAAGCAGATGGATTTTGGTGGAAGCCTTGTTAGGCTTTAATAAGATGCATTCAACCTGAATATAGGAGGAAAAGCAACAAAGGGATCGAAATTCGAATTACAAATTCATCTATATCTATCAAATCAATTTTTTATGATGTTCTGAAAGAGAAAAGTGCTGTTGCGCCGTAACTGAAATTGGAGCAGCTTTTTATGACAAAGAACTTGATAAAAAAGTTACAGTTGAAGCATCACTTATATTCTCACCAAATTTCCCAAAGTTTGTCATTGGATGATTATCAAATTATGTTCAAAGAAATTGTGGCTGATTTGGAGACATTGAAAGTTAAGTATGATGCAACATTACCATCAATGTAATATTACAGTGAATTAATTTCGCATTTGTTTGGAAGGTGTTTAAATTATAAACACTCTTGATAAAACTAAATTTTTTATTCATAGATTTCACATAATCGTCAAGTACAACACATTTATTCCTATACATTTTATATGATCAATCACATTCAATGTAATATTTAATTGGTGCAAGTCATAGTAAAATTGCAGTAATGTAAACCAATGTAAAATATCAAACTAGTTCATTACAAGCAATATAATATCATCTAACTAGAAAATTAAATTTGCCAACATATAAATATATTAATTGCTTCCATACCTGATACCTGCATGAAAATATAAGAAATAAAGTAGAATGTCAATATTTGATCAAGAGATGATTTAAAATTTCAATCAACTTAACTCAAACTGAAAATGTATCTTCCATGTAATTAATTGTTAACTTATTGATAAGAGTTACGTATTATATCAAAAAGTTACAATCAGAGATAGCAGTAGCTATGAGTTTGTAACATCTAAATATGAGTAGAATATAAATGACAGCTGAGTTTGTAGGGAAGATTTTAAGTTTTTAAGAGTCTTTTCGAGTCTTCAAAAAGTCCGATATTAAATTATACTTGACACAGTAACAATTTATTCTTTCCTACAATAGTGATCAACGAGTTTTCTAAAAACTAACTTCTGTATTTTGTAATTTTGCAATATGTTAAAATTACACATTTTTTTTTTTTTTAAAAGCCTAGAATGGCTCATTTATGTAATTTTCCTTTAAAAGTCATTCTATGAAATTACCACATTCCAATTGACTCATTTATAGGACTTTTGTCCTTACTGAGTCCTCCAACAATTCAAAAATTTTTAAGAGTATCTTTCGTAAACAAAAATAGAGAAATATAATCTCACATACTTTCCTGAAGATAACTTTGTTAAGTCTTGTTTCCTTAGAGTCTTTTATTTTAAGTGAAAGAGAACTCCTGTAAATATACTATACGGTTTGAATGAAAAATTATGAGACATGTTTTTAAAGGAGGGAGAAAGGAGAAGACGTCTCAAGCTTTGAATAGATTAATTCATGGCTACCTAATTATTGACGATACCGATCTTAGAGTGGAAATAGATTTATTCTATAGACGACATTTCAACATGATATCAAGAAAGAGGTTATTATTTTAATTTGTGGAAGATTTCGAGTACATTCGTAGGAGTGTCATTAAGATTAGAGAGATGCTATTGGTACATGATTATATGTACATAAGGGTGTCCTCCTAGTGATGACAACGGGGCGAGTTCGGGTGGGGGATCCTGCCCTGCGCCCCCATCATACCCCACTCGGCCCCGCCAACCTGTTTGGGGCGGGTTTTTTTTTTTTGCCCCATTCGAGGCGGGTTTTATTGTCATCCTTATGTACCTCTCTCACATGGGGAGCTCTACTCGAATATCTTATTCATGTGGGGTCCACCCTCATGTGAGATGATGGACACTCTTCTGTAAAGTAAATTATGTACCATTAGCATTTTCCTTAAGATTAATACTTGCGAGTTTGGTTCCATTTCTCTATAAATCAAAAGGACAATATATACAAGGGCGAATTCAGGATCAAAGTCCAGCTAGGGCGGAAGTTGACTGTTGACCGTCGACAATCAACGATCGTAATAGTTCAAAAGTTATTCAATAATTATTCCTCATTAAAATATAAATTACTTATCATAAATCACAATTCGTAAATATAAATTCTCAAATTAATAATCATTCCTCGTTAAAACATAAATTACTTATAATAAATCACAATTCGCAAACATAAATTCGTAAACATAAATTCCCAAAGTATAAATCATTCCTCGTAAAAACATAAATTACTTATAATAAATCACAATTCGTGGCATTAATTTCATAAACATAAATTCCTGAAATAATAATCATTCCTCATTAAAACATAAATTACTTATAATAAATCATAATTCGCAAACATAAATTCTCGAAACAATAATCATAACATAATTAACATTGATTAGTCATTACTTAACATCAACAAGTTAAGTAGCCAACAAAATTAAACAAAAATAAATAAAGAGGGAGAAAGAATCACCAATCACCAGACTCACGGCACTCGGACTCGGCTTGCAGTCGGCAATCGACAGCAGAAGCTACAAAACATTAAATACTAATTATTGTGTAATGAGTTATTTAAAGGGGATTGTTGTAAGTTAAATACTAATTAATGAATGATCATTGTATTCCTATAATCCTAATTATTATGACTATTGTACTTTTTGTAGTCTTTTTTCCTCTATAAATATCAATGTTTTGAAAATCGGACCAGACATTGATTCGCAAAATAAGAGGGAAAGGTCAAATTGAATTTAAATCATGGTTGACCCGAAAATTAAATTAATTAAATAAATAAAATTTAATTTGAATAAATGCTATTTAAAATATAAATTACTATATAGATATAAAATTTTTGAAAAATTAATATTAAGTTTAAGAGTCTTTTAAGTATTTTGATTTTTTTAATTATTTTTTAACAATCATTTCATTACATAAAAATTAAATGGGCCCAAAAAAGTCGCAATCTACATATGAAATAGTTAGGCCCAGTAATGTTATAAACCTAGAAAACTATTCCATTTCATGAAAACAATGCTTCCTTCTCATTTTCTTCTTCACGCAGCTTCTTCTTCTTAGTTTATCATGCAGTTTCTTCCTTCTTGTTTATTCCCAACAGCTTAATCCCAGCAACAATTACTTCAGGCTTGAGCCCAAAACCGAAAAAAAAGAAAAGGAAAAGGGTCGTCTCTTTCCTCTGTCATCTTCTTCTCCGGCCGGCTCTGCAAATCCACAATTTTCTACCCGGCGAAGCTTCCGATGGAGCCAGCACGTGCCTCACCGGGTGCTAGCTCTGTGCCTGACCTTTCGTATAGTCTAATGTGAGTTAAATATCAGATAGCTATTGATTTTTCTCAAACATTTTTCAATTGTCATTGAATTTTAAAATTTAATTTTTTCCAAGTAGTCAATAAACTTTTATAAAAAAATTTCAGTTTTCATTGAACTGAAAAAGTTCCCCTAGTTACCACTAAACTTACCTAAATATTATCCCTGTTACTTGTCACTCATCATTTTGAAATTTAATTGAGTACATGACATAGTAGTGAGAACAATAGATGAAATAACGCTCTTTTAAGTTAATCAAGTTCATTTACTTTTAAAACTAGAGTGTCCGGTAGTAATATTTTAATGAGTATAGTGACAACTTAGAGAACTTTTAAAATTTAAAGGTAATCAAGAAACATTTAGGAAAGTTCAATTGTAAGTCATAGAACTTTAAAAGTTCAACTACAGTTGGAAAATATTTTTAAGGGTTTGGTGATAATTAATATATGACCGAGTCCAATGTTGATGTGGCATTAGCCAATTAGAAATTAAATTACTAGTGAAGAAGGAAATTTCATATTTTCAAGTGATAACACAAAATTCCATTCCATTAAGCCGTGATTAAAGGTAGCCTAAAATTTTCGTTTTCCTTGAGGAATCAGTGAACTCTGATGAATCCAAAATACCTATAAAACATACTAACATAGTTCAAGAATCGATTGTAATTCATTAGAAATATTCAAATCAAAGATTTAAGAAAATTGACAGACTGTTTTGAATGGAAAGTCTTTCCCAATTCAGCACGAAATATTAGATGATGACTAAATTGTTATTCCTTTTCAAACGCGAAAGATGTTACTTCTAATGGAAGAGAGAGATCATACAGCATTTGCACTTGATGGCAACCACGTTGAATTCTTATATAGGGATTTCATTTCTCTGAGGACAAAAGACCACTCGATAATTAGTTCCTGTGGGACAAGTAAATGTGCTAGTCTGATCACCTAGAGGGTTACTATATGCATCGGGGCACATGTCCTTAAAAAACTTAGAATAGGTTGTCGGGCCACAGCTACCTGCAGAGGTGCAACAGTATTGGTTGGTCTTGAATACCGTGCATGGATTGTCACAGCCGCCTGGTGCCTTCAACGCACTCGGACACTGGCCATTGATGTCAGCAGTGCAACGAATTCCACGGGAGCACCCACCGGAGATGGGACTAAATTCCATTGGCACATTAAATCCATCAACAAGGGATATATCGAAGTAGTCCAAGTTGTTGAATTGGTTGATGGCGAATTCAGCTAGGGTGTTGGGTGGTTCACCATAGGTTTGAGCTTGACACTGGAGTAGCCCATTGCAGTCTCCTGTTTGACACCTACCACTGCCGGAACTGTCAAAGATGCAACCTGTTCGAGCCCAAATTCGGCCCTGTTTAGAGCCTGCACCAGGGAAGATGGCCCAAGCTTGGCCATTGTCAAGCTGCATGCCACCACCGCGCGTAGCGGCGGCCCAGACTGTGAAGGGACAATTGTTAATGATTTCAAATGTAGTTGCACCAGAATAGCGGAAGAAAAGGGAAGCAAGACAAAAAATTGAAATGGAGATTGATTTGAAGGAGCCCATATTTAGGGGTACTAGCTATATTGTATAAGAGACGAACAGGTTGGGTTAGCTTGCAGAAAAAATGATAAATTTGTTCGAAATCAGTCCTACGGCAATAATTAATGATTGCGTTTGAACCATTCAAAATTGGTACAAGTCTTGGTCAACAAATCTCTACTACATTTTCAAAACGTAAGGACCCATTTGTCGGGATGTTTAATTTCCACGACATGGAAATATCAAGTTTTGCATGGCCTACACATTTATCTCAAAAAATAGATTTACTCAACTTGGAAAATGGCGTGGAGCAAGTAAATTCTATTGAATAATGTGGAGTAATGCTATTTAACTATAGTTTATATGACGTTAATGTGACATTAAATGATAGGTTATTAGATCGAGGTTATAACCTTATTGGGGCCAAATGTCATTATTCAATATTTTATCCAACGTGTAAAATTCATGTATAATGCTAAAAATAGTGAATTGTGTAATTTTTTTCTTTCAACACTTTCTCCTATCTAATCCTCATAATCGAACTTGTCTCTAGTGCATTTTGATATATAAATTTAGAAATGTCAACGAGTCCAGCCAGCTCGCGAGCTGAAACTCGAGGCTCGAGCTCGTTTCTAGTAAAACAGTGCTAACTTTTTTCTGCATTGGACGGCAAAACAAGAGGGCAACGAGTAGGAGAGCGAGAGAAACCCTATCCCTCTCTTTCCTTTTTTTACCCTCAAGTC